CCCCGCCGCCACCTTGCGCAGGATCTTGGCCTTCTGCTGCACGTCCGCCTTGTAGAAGAAGCGCATCATCTGCACCGTCAGGTAGGGCGGCAGGCCCGCGACTGCGCTGCTGCCCTTGAACAGCACGCTGCGGCCCAGCGCCTCGCTGTTCTTCTCGCGGTCCTCCACCAGGCCCAGGGTGATGCCCTGGGATGTGTCATTGTGTGATTGGGTGTGTTGCATGTGTGTGGGTGTTGCGTGTGTTGCGTGTGTGTGTGTGTGTGTGTGTGTGGTGCATGTATTGTGAGTGTTGCGTCTGTTTTGTGTGTTGGGGGTGGGTGCGCACCTGCTGTCGTGACCTGACACTGTGCAGGCGTACCAATAGAACGGCCAAGAGCTGCGTGGGCACACGTCCAACTTGAGCAGGCCGCCTGGTATGAGGCCGCCCTGTGGCGACCCCGATGGCTTGTCCATGCAACCGCCAAGCTTCGCCCCGCCGCTGCCTGTGATGCCCCAGCCTCGCGCCTCCTGAAACACCCCGCCACCACCACGCCCGCCGCCTGCCCTTCACACCCGCTGGCGCGCCTGCCAGTGCTCCTCGCTGCTGTTGCCGACACTGGCATCGCGTGCTCCGTTCTCATGCCGCCCCGTGCTCCCCCCCTCGCCCACACACATCCCCCACCCCCCACACTCAAACCCCGCACACCTGGTGGAGGTAGTTGGTGTCACCTGCAATGTTGCACTTGAGGGTGTAGGCCGTCCCGCTCTCGTTGATCTCCTCCCCGCTCTCCTCGCTCTTGAGCTTGGTCACCAACTTCAGACCAAACAGCTGGTCCACTACTGAGCTGCCGTCCTCCTCCTGTGGCAGGGAGAGGCAAGGCGGCAAGGTCAGTCGAAGGGGCGCGCCCGGCAGGGTCCAGGAGCCGCCACAGGCAAGAGTGAGAATGGTTTGACGCTGATTAAGGCAGCAGCGTGGCTGCCTTAGTCTGTGCTGGGGACATTCAGCGTGCTCAAGTGGACGCCACTGCTGCATCGCGCTGCATCGCGCTGCGGCAGACATTTCAACCTCCTCCGCTGCTCGGCTGCCTCTTTTGAGGCCTGCCGCCTTCAATCAATCCCGACGCGTGCAGACCCACTGTCGCCTCTCCCTCCTCAGACCGCGGACAACATACAAAGGACAACTGCTTCATCTGTATAACCTGATGACTGCACCACGGCCTCTCAGCGATGCAGCTGGCCTACCCGTGGCTGCCGATTGGCATCCCTGCTGCTGACCCACTTGACGTGCAAATCATAGAACAGTCCCAAGCGTCTAGATACACCACATACCCCGGTCTCAACTGCATCACCACGCGTGCAAAAGAACTGCAGCTGCTCTTCCCATTGCCACGGCCGCTTGCACATGTTGCCTATAAACGGCCCTGCTGCTCTGCTGACCTTGTAACTGCTCCTGCTGCCTGCCTGTGCGCCAAACACACACCTTCCCCTCCCTTCCTCCCTCCCTCACGCATCCACCCACCTTCAGCTTTTCCCGCAGCGTGTACATGATCTGCGAGTAGCACTCCTCGGCGTCCTGCTGCATGTAGTCCCCCGAGTTGCCCGTCTGCGCAAACTGCGGGAACCGCTCCCGCAGCGTCATAAGAAACTTGAACGGCGGGAATGCCGCGCCCCCCTTTTTCAGGTCTGCAAAGAGCTCCTTGGTGGCCGCGACCAGCCGCCCGTCGGCGCCGGCCGCGGCGCCTGGCGGCGGCGAGTACTTTGCGAGCGCCTGCTGCAGGGCGCCGACGCTGTACAGGCACTGCACTGTCGAGTTCATGTAGCAGGTATTCCCGAGGTTAGCGAGGCCCGATCCGTAGGCCTTGGTGCCCAGGGTGTCCTGCTCGTCCTCGGGCAAATCCTCCACGAACACTGGGGCGTTCTTTGGCGCCTCGACGCTGATGGGGTCGGCGGTGCCCATCATCATGATGGTCACGCCGTCTTTGGGGACAGCTTTGCCCCACTCATCATCCTTGAGCAAGGCGCCCTTTCAAGGGGAGGGGCAAAGCGTTGGCACGCGGAGCTAGGCGTCGCATCAGGTCGCACATGGGCAGCAGCGCAGCGCCGTTGTCGTCGACGCTTTGCAGCCGGCGGTGAAAACGGACTCGACCTATTGCCATTGGTCGGGAAATTGTTCCCGCACAAAGCAGACCGCTCCGCATGCAGAAATGCCTCCAGCGCACAAAGTTGCGTGGTGCCCCGTGACCGAGATCGCAGCTCTTACGCCCAAATCAAGCGGATAAATCATGATGTGAGAACTCTGGCTGATTGCGTGCATACAGATAGGCAGCAGCACTCGCTCACCTTGATCATGACCTTCTGCCGCTCGGGCGGGACGCCGCTCAGCGTGAACAGCTGGCTCTTGAAGATCAACGGGGACTGCGTGGTGTCGACCTCGATGTCGCTGAACACCTCCTTACCCCACTTGCATGAGACTTTCACTGGAGCCATCTTGCCGCTACAAACCGAGGCTGAGGCAGCGTGTGTGTGTGTGTGTGTGAACCAAGAGGTTTAATGTACCAACGCCATGAATGCGGGTTCAAGTGCCATGTGCACAACAGGGGGGTGTTCATGAGGAAGCTGAGAGTGCCATGTCGGCTGCAGGCGAACCAACCAGACCATCTGGTGCCCCCCTGCAGGGCGAAGCAGCGGGGCGACTGTGCCAAAAGCTAGTGTTCATCCACAGTGCAATTCACTGGCGGATGAATGTCAGAATGTTTGGAAGGTGCTTACCGGCTAAATTGCTCGAGCGTCAACCGCAAAAACTGCCTCGACGTCCGTGGCCGGTCACTGTGTAGAGTGCCTGCTGCACCCCTTTGGACCTCGACTGACCTTCTCAACTGTGGTGACCTCAGGCCACCCCTTCAACACCGCACGGCACATGGACATGGCTATGTATTGCATCAAGAACGTGCTATTGAAGAGCGCACACGGCGCGCAAATGCGCAAGCGCAGGGTGCAAGCACTCGCACGAAAAGGGCAGAGCCCATGAGGGCAGGGCAGGGCGGTTGATGATGTGTACATGCAGGCGAAATGCGGGCGCCTAACGCATCCCGCATGCGCATGCGGCGGCATGCCCCACCACTGCCTGCACGGCAAGCGAAGCAGCATACAGGTTGCTCCGGCCGCAGAGGCACGGCAAAACAAAGCCGCACAAGGCCTGGTGTACATCCGTCGGCCCATGAAGGACCAAGGCAGTATCTGTGTGCGTAACGGTTCGGCTGGAAGTGTGCTGGCTGGCTGACCCCGCTCCCCTGCCGCAAGGCTTCCGGGGGGCGCCTCCCAGAGCCCTGGAAACGGAGAGCGACGCACGCGGCTGAGTCCCATCACTCCAGTGGGGCGGCAGGACGCAGCACAGAGGCCGCTTCAGCGCCGTCCCGTGAGCGACGCAGGCGCATGCGTGTGCCCGGCGTGTGCGACAGCCTGCTGCCTCTGTCTCGGATGATGGAAGGGATCAATAAAAGCCTAGATCAGAGGGCAGAGCCCGCCAGCCCCAATGCTCAACCTGCACGCATATGACATGGCACTCTCCTTCCCTCTGTGCGTGTGTGTGTGGCAGGGGACGTACGTAACGCGGTGTTCGAAAGCTTCCAAGGCAGTGGGCACGCTTGTGCACGCGTGCGCCTTGGGCAGATGTCTGGATTCCGCGCTCGTGATCATACACGAGCCCTTGCGAATAAGAGTCCAGGTGAGAAGGCATCAACGGCACAGGCACGCGCCGTTGCTCTCTAGGCTTTGGCGGCGTGCAAGCATATTCGAGGAGAGGGGGCGCTTGCGGGGTGCAGCGGGGCTCACAGGCCTCGCGGCACCGGTACAGGGTCGCAAAGCCGGCGTGGGGCGCGGGCGCCAGAGTTGGGGCTGGCAACTCGTCGCCGCCACCGCCAGCCGCATGCGGCGCAAACGGGGTCGATTGCGTTGCGGAGAGGGGACAAGGTGGTGGTGGTGGTGATGGTGGTACAACTGGGCACATGCCAAGGGCCTACGATGAGTGCAGAGGCGCGGCGCTCACTCGTGGTCTCAGCTGATTGAGGTTCCATCGAGGCCGCAAGGCTGAACCAATGCAGGGCCTTCCTCAGCGCGGCACCAGCGCCTGTCAGAGGGAGCCGCCTTCAGCGCCGCCGACCCGGCCCAGCCGGCCAGACCAGCGCCCGATCAGCACGCCTGTGCTACAAATCAGGCATGAGCCGCCCCGCGAGTTCCGCCCGTGCCGATTTATTGCAGGCCGGGCCGCCGATGCAAGGCCAGAAGACAAGAACAGTGGCAGTGCGAATTCTAGCACCCTGCCTGTAGACTCGCTGTCTTTGGCGCGCGCTGCGCCAGCCGCAGCCACCGCAAAATCTTCGCCCCGCGGCGGGGCGGGCTGCCGCCAGCCCTCCGTTGCTAATCAATCCAGCTGTGCCGAGGCGTGCGCCTCAGGCGTCGTCCTCCTCCTCGCTGGAAGACAAAAAGGCGCCTTCGCTGTCGCCGTCGCCGCCGTCCATCTTCTCGTCGCCGTCCTCGCTGCTCTTGTCGCCGTTGCGGGTCGCAGGGTTGCGGCTGTTGACGACCTCGGGCGCCGCATACCGGCGCACGTACTCTGCATGGAGTTTTGCAATGCGTGGGGCAGGCAAGTGACTTGGGGCGCATGAGGAGCAAGCTCGTGAGTAAGAGAAGGCGACACGTGCAGGCGTGAGGTTCTGGCTGGCAGTAGCCCGCGGCTCCTACAGCCCGTGCCGGCGGCAACAGCAGACAGCTGCCCCGCCCCAGCCTGCGGGGCCTGAAATCCTGGTCCGTGGCAGACGGCCGCAGTGCCCTTGAGTTTGGCCCCGAGCAGCGGGCCGGAGACACACCCTTGACGCGCGCGTTGTACGCAGCGGGATCCCTCATCAGCAGCGCGGCCGCCTCCCCGTTGAGGGGGTCCGTCGGGTTGGGGTACAGCAGCAGCTGCGGCAGGAACACCTCGAACACGTTGATCAGGTCTGGGAGGGCGGGCAGTGAGGGGTCGTGTGGTGGGGTTGTCAAGGCACGGGTGGTGAAACCCTGGACAGGTGGGGGTCGGCTGCACGCCGCGGCGCCGCGGACCCGCGACCATCAAGCTCAGGAAGACCAGATGCATGCCAGCTTGCTGGCTGCAAGCAGCTGCGATGTGTCGTTTCCCGCGCCGCGGTCTCCGAGGCTGCTGCAATCATGGTCCGCGCACCAAACATCGGGCTCCAGGTCTGGTTGATGACGTCCAGGCAGACAGAGCCCGCCCTGCAATCCAAACGCCGCGCCAAGGGGGGGGGGGGTGGTCGCGCAGGCGTGTCAAACCACGGGCCACATGCACGCCACCAAGCGGCAGAACACCTGCCCAGGTAGCCACGACCTGCATATGCCCCTACAGGTCCCCGGCCAGGCCCCCACAGACTGTCCGCGCACCCCTCATCGACGTTGGGGTGGTAGATCTTGTTCACAAACCCTATAGAGGGGGACTTGTAGGGGTATGACTCTGGAAGCTCGACGTGCACCTTCCACACGCCCCCCTCGTAGGGGCTGTCCTTAGGGCCACCAAACTCCACTAGGGGGGCGGGCGTGCAGGAGCGTCGGGGAAGAGGGGCGTGTCTGCAGCCTGGACGGCGGGCTGCAATGTTGGCTGTTGACACATGGGGGGCACGCCACGCCTTGCTGAGGTGTTGTGCGGCCGTGCATGCGCACCCCTAAATCGCCCTGAGAGCCACGAACCCTGATGGGACGCCGTCTGCGGGGGCGGGCGAGCTTCGCCAAGGCGGCGCGCCCCTGGTCAGCGCTCACCTGTGAACTCACAGATGTTGTCGTCCACAAGCTGCAGGCAAAAGGTACGTCCAGTGCAGCAAACAAGGCGCAAAGCGAACAGGAAGGGTCCGTTTGTTGGGCAAGGGGCTTTGGTGTTATTGCGGCTGCGCGCACCGAACGCTACCATGGTGGAAGCATGGGCGGGATGGGTGCTGACAGCTGGCAACCAAAGCCAGTCCGACCCCATTTCCCAAGATGCATGGGCCACTCACGTCCACATTCCAATCGCTCATCATGCTGAGAGGCAGGGAGACGAAGGCAGGCGCCAGCAGTGTGAGGGTGCATTGAAGCGTGGCACAACCGCCCCAAGCCCCGCGTCAGGGCAGCAGGGCTGGCACCCGCAGCAGCTGGGCTCGCACCCAACTGAGAAAACACACCGGAATTGCTGGCATAATACAGAGCTTACTGAGGCTTCCACGTGCGCGGCATGTGCGGCGCCAGTTGTGCACGCGCGCACCGCGCGGCATGTGCGTTACTACACCTTTCCTCTGCCCGTCGCCCCGCGCCCCACAGCACTGCCTAAGCGGGACCACGCGCTACTCACAGCTTCATCACGTCCATATCCCTGCGCTTCGACGGGCTGGCGCTCATCTTGCTGATGCAGTGCGATGTGATAGCTGACTGAACCACACCCGGACTCGCTGGCTATGGCTGAGCGGACAGACAAGAGGCCGACGCGGGATGCGCACCACCCTAGACAGTCGCGGGCAAAGAACAGGCCTAGGGGACGCGACGATTGGGGCAGGGACACGTTTGCTGAGGATTGCTGGTAAACCTGAGTGTGGAGAAGAGTAGCTGGAGGGTCGGACAACTGATGAATGCTCAAACTGAACGTGGTGCCCGAGCGGAGGCCAAATACGTGAGCTTGCGGGAGCCAGGCAGGCTGACCACAGTAGTCAGGGGGGCTACTCCACGGGTGCCGGTAAGCGCGCGGAGCTGCCATTGTCATATATACGTTCGTGATCGGCGTCGGAAGCCTTGCACTTGATTGGCCTTTGCTTGTCGGATCCACGACGGATCACAAGCGCAAATTAGCATATATGCGGCAATATTATGTGGCTGTGAGCACAAGAGAGGCCAAGCTGGTATGCAGGATCTGGAAGACTAGCTGTTGCCCGTGCTCGCGCACACAGCACGACCAGCATTGGGCTGGTGTGTGCGCTGCCGACCGCGCGCGCCTGGATCGCCCCGCGCCAACCTCACTCGGTGCATTCTTGCGCAGACCACCCTGGTGGAGCTGCTTCAGGCGCTGCAGGCCGACGCCAGCGGCGTGGCGCTCGCGGTAGCGTGCGGGTCGCGGGACGCCCTTGACGAGGTCGTGGCTGCGCTTGCCGAGTGCGGCAGCTTTGCACTCGCCGTGCTGGTAGGCTCCTCCCTCATGTGGCCACCATATCATATGGCCCTGCAGTGGCTCTGAACACATGAATCCGCCGATGTTTTCAAGCGCATGCAACGTTAGATGTCGATAGCTGACATATGATGGGACGCATGCGATCGCTCACTTGCAGGGGTGACAAACCCTTGCTCCTTTCGTCGGCCCTGCCTGCCAAAGCTCACTTTGGCGGCCCCCATCCTCTTGCCACCCCAGCACTCAGACCTGCAGGTGTCTGAGATCGAGCGGCGGGTGGCGCGGCTCAAGCAGCACGCGCAACACCAGCAGCAGGGGCGCGACAAGGAGCAGCAGGGCAAAGAGCGGCCGGCGGCCCTGCCTCAGCAGCAGCAGCAGCAGCAGCGGCAGCAGCAGCAGCAGCAGCAGCAGCAGCCAGGTTTGGAACAACAACAGCAAGGTGCAGGCGGTGGGCCCGCTCGGCCGCCGCAGCAGGTGGGCCCCCTCCTGGGAACCCCGCCTGCGGGCAGCGATGGGCAAGGAGGCGGCGGCAGCGGCGGCGGGGACACGGGCGGCGAGGACCCTGAGTTCGATGCACCCGGCCAGGCGTCCCTGGTGCTCGCCGCGACGGACGTGTGCCTGAAAGTGCTCCCGAAGGAGCTGCTGCCCCTCGGCCTCCCGCTGCTCATCCAATACGACATACCCACAACCAAGGTGGGCCCCTCCAGCACGCTCTCCCCATTGTGTATCCACCTATTGCAGCCGACACAGCGCAGGGCAAGGGAATCAAAAATCCCAGATGGGGCTTCAGCGCGCCAAACCTCCAAGGCACATCTTCACAGGTCCCCTCTTGTACCGCATACATCACAAAATGGGCTCACCCCGCCAATCTTGGACTTCCACTCAGGAGGTCTTCACACGCCGTGTGTCCACGGTCTTTGGCGGCAGCAAGGAGCGGCGGCGCATGCAGCGGTCTGTTGTGATAGACTTTGTGGCGGCGGGGGAGCTGCCGGCCTTCAGGGCGCGTGAGCGGTTCAGCACCACACCGGTCCTCGAGATGCCGGTGCACGTGCCAGATATCCTATAGGCCGGTCCGTATATAATCCCTGCTGCCGCACCTGCTTCTTGTCGTCGGCGGCGACGCTGCTGCTGCTGCTGCTGCCGCTGCTGCTGCTGCTGCTGCTGCTGCCGCCGTTGCCGCCGCCGTTGCTGCTGCCGCCGCCGCCGCCACCGCTGCTGCTGCTGCTGCTGCTGCTGCTGCTGCTGCAAAGCAGTTCTTTCACTCGTTGTGTGTCTTGCCAGAGATGCAATTTGTGTGATTCGCCTTGACATACACATGACAAACGGATATTGGAGGAAGTACGCCAGCAATTTCGGTCATGTGCACTTGTCATCCAATTTGTTATGCCAGGCACGTGCTGTTGCCCTCATGGTAGCGCCGCCTCTGTCAGCACGCATGCCGCAAGACGCCATGCACCCTGCTTGCAATCCCTCAGCGTCGCCGCGGCGCTGAGCGGCTCAGAGTAATCATTACTCATCCAAGTCGTCCAGCGCGTAGGCGCCCGCCCCATGCACCACCGCATACTCGAGCCGCTCCGCCAGCACCTCCTTGCAGCGCGCACGCAGCCATGCGCCACCCTGAGCCGCCCCGCCGGCGCCCGTGATGCCGCGCTCCCATCGCTCAACCCTGGGCGCGTTTGCCAAATCCTCCGCCGACCCCCACGCCACGCCCGCGATCGCTGCCCCTTGCCGGTCGGCGGCCGACGCTGACATCAGCGCCGAGTAGTAATCCGGCAGCTCCAGCGTGTTGGTGCAGGTGTGGGCCTGCGGCAGCATGTGGAGCGCCGCTCGGCGCTCGGCGGCGCCTAAAGCAGTGAAGGGAAAGCTGATGGTCAGCGCCTCTGTGCCCTGCATGGGAAGCCTGCGTGTGTATGCAACAGGAGGTGCGCATCATGGTTGATCGGTGCGCTGAGTACATGCATCAGGTGCCTGGCGGGGCACGTGGCTCGTTTGTGCGCACCAATCATAGCTGCATCGCGTTGGTGGGCCGCAGCCACAAAGTTCATGCAGCCATGTCCTTTGAGGCTACTGCGTGCTGGGCACTCGGCCACACTGCTGGGCACTCAACCACACACCTGTCGGTGCCTGTTGTGAACCGCAGGAAAGCCGCAACCAACGCCGGCGGCCACCCGTCCAGCACCTCCCACAGGCACTCGGCCACCACCGCCTCGCTCCTGCCGGACACATCAAACAAGCCGCCGCCATAGCTGGTACCGCTGCCGTCATTGACGGCGCTGCCGCCGCCGTGGGGTTCGTCCTCAGGGGCGAGGCCTTCGCGCTCTGAGACAACGCCTTGAAGCACCACCCTGAACGCGCGGCGCACGGCAGGCCCGGTCACGGGCTGGTGCGCGCGGCTGCCGCAGACCGCGGCTGCCAGGGACGCGGCGTCCATGCAGCAGGTGTCCAGAACCTGCCAAAGGGGGTTTGAGAAGACCATTGATCCTGATATTCTGCACTGGTAAATGCACATCATATTCTGCCCAGACAAAGCATCAGCCTGCTGCAAGTGCTCGGCCGCCTTGTGCAGGCCCGAGCAGCTTCACTGGCCAGGGCAGCTTCTGAGCAGTTACTGTGGAAGCCTCCAGAGTTCCCATCCAGCAGCCCACCTCTCTCGACGCCGCACTCCAAAACCCCAGCTCCAGGGCGCCAAACTGCCAAGCCACGTCCTCCACCAGCAGGCGCGCCGCAGCCGCCTCCACTAGCCGCTGCGGCTGGCCCATGGCGCCGCCCACGCCCCAGCTGCCGGCGCCCGGCGCGCCGCTGTCCGTGGGGTGGCCCTCGAACCGCGCCAGGTCTGACAGTTCTGAGGGTGCAAGCCGCAGCACGCGCTCCAGGGACGCGGTGGCGTCGGGGTCGTGGCGCCGCATGGCCTCCAGGCCCGGCTGCAAGGGGGGATGCGTTCCGTGGTCATGAGGGTGCGGTGGTGTGTACATGCCTGGAGCTGCAGCAGCCTGCAGAGTCTGCTTGTCTGCCGGCTGTCGGCGACCACCATTGATCAGTATCACATACGTAATCTGCAACCGAAAGAGTTTGCCACTTCGGGCGCCCGCACCTTGAATGCCGGCCCATCCACGAGTTTTCCAAACAGCGCCGGCGACAGCTGCACCCCGAGCGCCGCTCTGTTGGGCAGCGCCTGGGCCATGAGCCAGCCGGCAAACCAGTACGCGCGCCGCGCCGCGCCGCTCTCGGGCAGGCGGGAGTTGATCCAAAGAGTGCCCGTCGACCGCATCTCCAAAAACAGCGGCCCAGCGCCTGCCCTGCTGACAGTCCAGTCGCACGCTGCGGCGTCGGGCGGTGGGGCCTGCGCCAATGTCGCGCCGGCGCGCTCGAAGAACTCTTTCCTCGGCCCGTGGCCCTCCCCAGCCTCGACGCCTGGGGCAGCGCTGCCAGCGCCCCAGCCGCCTCCATCACCTGCTGCTGCTGCTGCTGCTGCTGCTGCTGCTGCTGCTGCTGCTGCTGCTGCTGCCGCGACTGCGTCCGCGAACCGAGGGAACAACTTGCAAGGCCGGCCTGACGGGCTGCGCCTGCTGCTGCTGCTTTTGCTGCCCCCACCAAGGCTGCTGCCGCTGCTGTCAGCGCCCCTAGGATTTCCGTCTGTATGTTCCTTGCAGATATCATTGCACACTACGTCCGGCACGACGCCTTGGCTGCACGCCTCTGCAAACGCATCCCAAAAGACGTGCTCGCGCCTGACCACTGCCTGCAGCCGCGCCTCGCCGTTGCCCTCCGCGCTGCACCGGTCGCCCTGCAGCAGAACTGCCAGCAGGGCCCGGTTGGCGGGTGCAAGGCAGGCCGCGAAGGCCGCATCGTTTAAGCCGAGGCCGTCGCGCAGGCAGCAGTAATGGCTATGCTTTTTGCGCAGGCTGACCTCGGTCTCAAGCGCGACCTGGCGTTGCATCAACGGGATGGCAGAGTAGGGCAACGGCACGGTAGGTGATTGAGAGTTGCATGCAGTGCTGAATGTGGGAAGTGACAGCAGTTCTGGCAACGTGTCGTCAAGGCGAGGCCCCTCGAGAGCTTGCCTGTGGGAAGAGCAACACGTGCAGCCAGCTTGCCAGCTGATCCGCTGCAGAGAGCACCGCAGCGGGCGCGGCGTCGTCGCCACCACTTTCGCCGTGCCGGCGGCGCCATCTCTCACACAGGCGCGCAGCTAAGGGTGCCACCGCAGCCGCCACGGCGGTCAGTTTGCAGCCGCTGTTCGCGCAGCCCTGCTCAAGCCGCTCCACCAGTTGTGCGACCTTTGCCAAGTCCTGGCCGCCTTGTGGCTGCCCATCCTCGTCAGCAGCAAGGCCGGCGGCCCTCAACAGCCCCGCCAGCAGGCTGTTCAGCAGGGCACCGGCTTCAGCAGCTGGATCCACACTGTTAAAGAAATTCCGGCGACGCATGTTGGTGGCAAGTGAGTACAGGCATGTGCTCGTTCCCTCCACACGGCCAAAGGGAAAAGGGCGAATGCAAGCAGCTTCACCTGGGCCTGCCACGCCTCTGCAACGCCGCTTCTGCTGCATGCAGCGCCTGCAGAAGGCTTGTTGTGCTGGGTTGGTCGTGCTCCGCAGCAAGTGGGGCGACGCGTCCACCAATGCCGCTGTGGCAGCACAGCACGGCGCCCATAGCGCCGCAAGGGCGGCACTGCTCCGGCCCTCTGTGGATACGACTCCTCTTTCAATTTCCAAACGCTTACAATTTTCACAGCATGCACATCTTATCAACTTGCTGCACCGGCCCGATCACAAGGTCCGCTGTCGGAGTGGTCTCAAACAGCACTGACAGCAGCAACTCAGAGCTGTGGCCATCAAGATGCGTCTAAGTTCGACATTATGGATACACAAAGTCAACCCTAGTCAACCAAACTAGATCACGTTGGTTGCAGATCGCCTTGCCACGCCAAATGGCACTTGAGGTGGTCACGGAGATAGCGAACGTCCATGAGGACAGCGTCTGCTCCATCGCTTACGACAGGGCCAAGCGCACCGTCTACACAGTTGCTGAAGGCGATAAAGCTATCAAAGTGCGCGCTTTTATGCGTTGCTGCATGTTTGCTCAGACGTACTGCCGATGCCATGCCGGATTTATGCGCTCTGTCAGCGCCACTGCTGCGTTGCTGCCGCAGCGGTTGTCCGCCAACCCAGACGCACCGCTGCCGCCCCGGACCCGCGCCGCCATGCTGCAGGTATGGGACCTCAAAGCAGGCGCCCTGCTGCGCACCCAGACGGTGCACAGGGGCATGGTGACAAGCGTCGTCTATGCGCCGGGCGCGCGGCTGCTGTTCTCGGCGGCGATCGACGGCGCGATCGGCGTTTGGACGGACAAGGGCGCGTTGCTGCAGGTGCGACGCAGTGGGTGCACCTTTCTCGCTGCCGGGCGGCACGCTCACACGACGCTGGACAGGGTCAAATGCCCATCAGGAGCTCCAATGCTGCAAATTTGATTGTTGTGCCACCACCACCACCAGCAGCAGCAGCAGCAGCAGCAGCAGCAGCAGCAGCAGCAGCAGCAGCAGAAGCATCAGCGGCAGCTGACGCGCTCATGCCAGCTCTCATGCCTGCCGTGCCGCCCTCGCCGCCCAGGTCGTGCCGACCGGCTGGCCCCTCTTCAGCCTATCCTGGAGCGAGCGCCATCAACTCCTGGTGGCAGGCGGGAACAGTGTGCTGCACGTTTTCAGCATCGACCATGCAGAGGCAACGCGCCTGCGCCACGCGCGACAAGCCGGCCAGGCCGGCCCCCGCCCCACCGCCAATGGCGGCTCGTCGGGCAAGGCGGCCGCGCCGCCCTCCGCTGCAGCAGCGGCGGCGGCGGCCGCTGCGGCGGCCGCGGCGGCTGCCGCGCAGGCGGAAGAGGCGCCTGTACTCCTGCGTGTCTGTCCGGCGTTCCGCGGGTGGCAGCATCCGTCGGCGGCCGTGCGCTTCGCTGCGGCCGACGCCCCACCACCGGCCGACAGCGGCGGCGGAGGCGGCGGCGGTAGCGCGGGGCGCGCGGAGCCGCGGCGGCACCCCAGCACGACGGGCAGCGACAACGGCAGGACGGCGCCGCCTGGGCTTGATGGGGAGGGTGGCGCGGCCTCGGGGGGCGACGGCGGTGACGGTGACGGCGCGCCCCAGCAGCAGCAGCACGTAATGTTGGGGCAGCGGGGGGCAAGGGAGGAGGATTACTTTGCTGCCTGCCACACAGACGTGGTGAAATGCATTGTGATCACAGACGGCGGGAAGATCTTCACGGCTGGGTGAGGCGCCACTGCAATGCAATTACGGGAGCGGGCTGTGCGAGCAGGCTGCAATGGCTGCCTAGTTAACAGGCCCTGCACAACGCGATGCTTGATGCTGCACCCTGCCAACTTGAAACGTACTCAAGCTGGCGGCATGCTCTGAGCGCATCACAACTTTGTCGGCATCATGATTTGGCCCAATTCGACCAGGTTTGACCGCGCGATCTGCATCTACGACATCGAGAGACTCTCCAAAGGGCGCGACTGCTTCCGCCGCATCCGCGACTGCGCGCGCGCCGCCATCACGAGCCTTTCCCTCGACGCTCGCGGCGGCGTGCTGCTCGCCGGCAGCTTGGAGGGCGCGCTCCGCGTGTGGAGCCTCGAGGGGAGGTGCCTCGACAAGTTCGAAGGCCTCAGCAGCCGTCCGATCAGCGCCGTTGCGGTGCCACAGACTCGCGTGTGGTGGGCGACGGGGCGGTTTGACCGGGTCAACGTGTGCGACCCCAGGGCGCCTGCAAACGTGACGCAGTACGTGGCGCAGCAGAACCACCTGCTCAAACACCAGGTGCGACCCCAAGAGGGAGGCCTGCTGCGGCATTGCAGCTCGACACCATCGCTCTTCCTGGGATTGACGAAACAAGTTGTCAGCCTCCAACACGCTCAACCTTGCTTTTCTTACACGGCGTTGTAAACCAAGAAGGTGTCGCATGTGTGCACTGGAAATTCACATTGCAGTCTTCCGTCTAATGCACGATTCAGCTTGATCATCGTGATACACCCTCAGGTGGAGCTGCTGTACGCGCCGCCTGGCACGGACCTGGTGCTGGCCGCCACGCGGGACCGGTCCCTGGTGGCCTGGCAGCACAATCCAACAGCCGCACACAGGTGCGTGGGCGATGATCACGTCAAACCGCGGGGCCACGGCGCGTCGGGATTCAGAGGGACACTGTGTGCATGCGCAGATGCACCCCTTTACACCATCAACCTGAACCCCGAATCCATCACATTGCAAAACGATCTGTGCCTGACCACCTCCCTCGCATCCCTTGGCACTTACTTGCTGGCACGCCAGCCGGCCCTCCAGCTTGCAAGGCCAAAACGCGCCGCCACAAGAGCTCGACTATTGTTTTGCATCCGCTCACACGTGCAGGGTCTTCAAGGCCCACGAAGACTGGGTGGAGGGCCTCGTGGCCTCAAGCACGGGCCCAGATCCCACTGATGAGCGCCTGTTCAGCTTCTCGGCCGACGGGGCGGTGCGTCTGTGGGTGCTGGATGCGGAACAGGCCTGCGACGTCTACCGCCTCCTGGTGGGGGTATCTTGCTGGGACAGTGCATTGTTGCGGGGCAGCGCAGGGGTGCCAGTGTGCATGGCGTTGGCCGCTATCTGCCGTTATCCACTCTGCCTATTCAAACTGAACAGTTGCTGTGCAATCAACCGGGCAACGGGCGAAGCAGCTGCCTTTGATGTGGGCCGGCAGGCAGCCTGCCCATGGGCAAGAGCCTTAGACTACTCAAGCTCCCAAGCTCAACGCCCCTGATTGCTGCACGCCCTGACTCGCAAATGCGCCCGACCCCACAACAGGACGAGGTGCCCCTGGCCCCCTCCAACGTGCACTGCCTGGTGTTCCAAAAAGAGCGCGAGTGCCTGATCGCCGGCTGCGCAGATGGCGCCGTGCGGCTGCACTTTTTGGACGGCCGCGTGCCCATCCACAATGACGTCGCCCTGCCGACGGTGCTCACAGGTGAGCGTGGGGTGATCGGGCCTCGCTGTTGGCATACGACTGGGCTTTTGGCTATTGCCAGGTCCACCCTTGCAACAAGGGGGGCAGCGCGGCGTCCGAATGCGACTGCAGTCTGCGGAGGCGGCCGCGCGCAACTGCATCAAGCCGTGAAAAACAAGGCAAGCAGCAAACTTGCAGATGAGATTAAGGCACTGCATTAACCGGTTGGCGCAGCTGACCCCAGTCTCCAACCCAACCACACATGCATTTGTCGGTCAGGCCACCAGGGGGTGGTGTCCGGTCTGGCGCTGGTGGGCCCTGACATGCTGCTGAGCGCCGGCCACGACGGCACCCTCAGGCTGTGGGACCTCGCTACGATGAAGCAGCTGCTCGTGAGCGGTTTGTTTTGTCAGCAGTTGCACTTGCAGGGCCACATATGCTTGTTGCGGTCACATAAATGCGGCCACGCAGGATGGAGGAGGCAAAAGGGAGCATGCTGGTTGTGGGGTAATTTGTCTGTTCCGGTGACACGACACGACGCACGATGGCGCGCCTGCACGTGCATGATCATCCGAGTCATCCTTGTTTCCTGTGAGAGGCTTGCAGCAAAAGCCAACAGCCCAGGACCCGCCCGGCGCCGTTGCGCAGGTCGAGGCCGGCAGCTCGCGCCGCACGCCGGTGACGTGTCTGGAGTGGTGCGCGGACAGGCAGGAGGCTGCCCTGTGCGTCCAGGGCAGCCGCGCATATGTCTGGAGCCTCAGGCGGCCGCAGGCGCCCACGCTGCAGCTGGTGCTCGACCACTTTGAGAAGAAAAGCGGCGATGACGACGGCGGCGGCGGCGGCAGCAAGGACCAGGCCGCGGCGGGCAGTGGGGCCGGCGGCGGCGGCGGCGACGCTGACATCATCCCGGTCAAAAAGTCAGACATGCGGTGGCTGACCCGGTCGGACCTAGAGGGGCTGCCCTCTCAGGCGGAGCGGGAGGCGGCGGCGGCGGCGGATGCGGGGCGGCGGGCGGCGCTGCCTGAGCTTGTGGCGGAGGCGATAAGGGATGCGGCGGTGGACGTTCCCGAGGTCACGCAGGTGCGATTGGGGTTGAGCTGCTTGGCGTCCGCAAGGGTTGAGGAGGTTATTCTAGGTGTTGACACGCAGGTCAATGGGGAGGAGGGAGAATGGTTGCAGGCAGCGTGGTTGTTGGGCAACGTATGTGATAGGGGATAGTGGGGTGTTAACGAATGGGGTTGGGGGTCGGTGGCATCAGAGCTCGCCCAGATGGGACCCAGTGCTGGGTTGGGGCTTCAGGTGTGCTTATCTGGGGTCAACCCAGGATTCATGGCCTGGGCCCGTGCAAATGTGCGGCTTGAACTGCTGGAGGGATGCGGTGTGGCTGAAAGCTGTAAGCACTATGGTTGCTGTTGGCAATTGCGATCACGTCAGCAAGTCAAGCTTTTGCCAAACCGGCTTTGCTGCTGCTCCTGCTTCAAGCCCGTGAACATAGTCTATTGTTTGTGATCATATGCAGCCCACAAACCTGCGTACACATGCGCACGCCCGCGCGCTCGCACGCGCGTACACACACACACGCACACATACACATACACACATACACACACACAGATCCGCTGGGCCGGCTTCCGTGACTGCTGGGTGACGTCGGCCGACGATGACGTCATCAGGACCTGGTCTACTACCGGGAAGCAGCTGCAGTCCCTGCCGTCGAAGGGTGGCCGCGTCAACTGCCTGTTTGTCGACGAGGCACACGGCGCGGTGCTTGCGGCGGCGGCGAACAAGTGTGTGTATGTTTATGGTTTGGAGGATGCCACACCCCTGGCAAGGTAGGGTGCGTGGCACGAGTCCTATGATTGGGAATGTGGGATTAGATGTGCGCTTGTGTGCGTGCGTTTTTTGTACGTGTGCATGCGTGTGTGTGTGTGTGTGTGTGTGTGTGTGTGTGTAATTGACTGTGTGTGTGCGCGCGTGCGTGCATGCGCGCGCGCGTGTGTGTGTGTGGTGTGTGTGTGGTGTGTGTGTGTGTGGTGTGTGTGTGTGTGTGTGCGTGCGTGTGTGTGTGTGTGTGTGTGTGGTTGCGGGTGCAGACAGTGAGGTGTACTCAATTGGTTGTGTACTGAGGTGAGCAGCGTATCTGCCTGGAAGGCCGCCGCTTGCACGTGCATAACCTGCGCTTGATACATGCTCGCGGTCCAGCACGCCAGCAGCGGCGCCCCCGCCTGCGCTGCCGCCCCGCAAACGCTGCACCGCCTCCTGTTCCCGACAAATGTGTGCTGACGAGTGCCCCGCTTGCTTTCCTGGCAAATCACAAAGGTACTCTGGCCACGACGACGTGGTCAGCTCCATCTGTTTATTGGGAGCCCTGGACATGTACATAACAGGTGCGTGAGGGTGCGTGTGCGTGCGCGTGTGCGTGCGCGTGTGCGTGTGCATGTGTGAGTCAGCCAATGCGAGTGAGCCCTGTATGCATCAGCCATGCGTTCTGCTTCACCGAGGAGGCGCGTGTTCTCGTTTCAACAATCTGTGTAGACGCCGGAGGGCGCCGATGGGCATACAGAGCATGCGCGGCTGATGCGTAGGGCGCCGTAGGCCGCCCTGCTGGGGGCGCGTTTGTTGTAGGCAACGCCGTGCAAGCGGCGCGGCAGGGAAGCCGTAGCATTGCTGCCTGTTTGTTCCAATGCGTGGTGTGAACCTCATCTTTACAGGCAGCTGGGATGGCTCGATGCGCTTGTGGCCGCGCCCAGTGCCTGGCGGCCCTGCCGCGGCCCCCAGCGGCGCGGCGGCCGGCGCAGGCGGCCTGCTTCTAGAAGAGAGCGCCGATGGCGAAGATGCCAGCAGCGCGGCCGCCGCCGGCGGCGCGGC